GCTCCTCACTGGCCTATTATATGCCACTGAAGGCACTGAACTCCCTTGCAATAAGTTGATTCTTGCAGTGTGTTTTTCTTATTCCCGGCCATGTTTATGAATGAACTAGTGATAGTAGACACACTCACCTAGGGAACAGTGGTGTCACTACACTGCCTTATACTTAAGAGTAACGTGTGCACACATGGTCACGCGGCAATAAATGACAGCACTGTAGAACAGTTTTATGAAACAACATACTTCCTACAAGTAGAATATATGTTGCAACAATGTCAAGAATATTTAATTTAAAAATAATAAATGAGGAGAATTGTTGAGTTTTGCCGACCCCTTCAGTTGTAAGGAATTAAAATGCTAAAAATTGGTGGGCACAAGTTCGCTTCGGGTACCACCAGAAAGCCTCCATACAACCTCCACCTGACCTACTGATAGGCACTCTCATTAGTGACAATTTACCTGTGGAAAATGAGGAGACAGTTTGCCAAGCCGCTGAGCTGTGGCTAGAGTTGAACACAGAATCACCTTCACGATATTTCTCAACCACATCAAAGTGGATGCTCTTGGAATGACTAAAGAGGAGATGATGATTTCCATTAAAGCATCTTCTGAAGAGTCTCATAGTCTTTACTTTTCTGTCTTTACAACCCCCAGATATAAAAAGTTCACAAGCTCTGCAGCCCGCCAGCTGATCTGTGTAAGGCTGGGCAGATATAACTCCTGATAATGACATCTCGAGAGCAGGCAGTCAAGTTGCTCTGAAAAACAAAAAGGAATCAGTAAAAACAAGCCAACTCCAAGCTGCCTTCAGATCTGCAATTACTTTTACTGGTCCAATGCACAGCAAGATTTCCAAAGACCCTTGGCCATTTAAGTGATCAAAGCCCTGGAAGAGACCAGCGTGTCCAACGGACCAGCAGCGTCCTCATCTTCTTGGGGCAGAGGAGCTCTGCACCTTCCACAATCCTCTCACCCCGTTTCGTTCATTCTGTTGCCCCATACACATTTACCGATCTACTAAGTGCCAGGAACTGTTCTAGGTGTCGGGGGCAAGACAGTGTATAAAGCACCAAAAATCCCTGCCCTCATGGAGCTTACACGCTAACGGAGGAGACGGATGCTACACAGGATAAATAAGAAAAATATAAAGTATGTTATGAAGTGGTCAGTGCAAAAGAAATAAAGCTGAGAAGGGATAGGAGGTCAGGGGTTAAATTCCAGTTAGGGCAGCAAGGAAAGGCCTCACTAAAAGGCAGCATTTATGTAAAGACTTTTTAATGTTAGAGGGACACAGGGGAGAGAAAATACAGCCATGTGTTGATGATGTCACGAGTATTCATCTACCAGGTGCCAACATGCGTGTGCCTGCCTGTGTGTGTTCATGTGTGATGGACATGCTTGGGAAGTGGCTCCACAGCCTGATGGGTCAGGGTGAGGTGTCTGGGACAGAGACTGAATGTGGACCAGGGCAGGACAGGCTCTGAGCCCAGCCCCAGACCTCACATTTGGCCAAGAACAGGGCCACGTGCCGCCAGCTCTGGGCAACAGCAGCGACACCTCCTCCCAGGCTGGACGGCGCCATCTGGGAAGAAGGGTGGGCCCCGGGGATTGTAGTCTCCTGTGTCTGGCCCTGCGGTATCAGGGACTGGGGACAGCACACGGTGACCATGGGCTCCATGTCCCCCACCCCCCAGCCCAGCCCACCACCTCTGCCACTTTCCACTCTCCACGGGCAGATGGGTCTGGTCTGATGAGGATTTTTCCAGGCTGGGCTGGTGGCCTGACCCGGCAGTGGCCATGCGTCCAGGGCAGGGATCATTCCAGGGGAGATGAGGTATGTCCCCCGGCCCCCACGGCCGGGGGGCAGGGGGCAGGGAGCAGCTTTAGCCAGAAGCAGGTGGAGGCTGGGAATGGGGAGGTCAGCAGTGCCCTCACGCCACATCCTGTTTTTGGAATGGGCCCCAGCATGTGCTTTCCTTTGGACTTGGTCCAGGCCAGTGTCTCCCCACCCAGGCCCAGTCCCAAGGGAACCCCAGCACTCCCAAGCATTAACCTAGGGTTTTTCCAGGCTGGGCCAGGCCCCTGAGCCAGCGTGGGTGAAGGATACCTTTCCCACCCCTTCTTGAAATCGTGCCAGGGGTCCCCATCGGCCCCCATAGCTGGAGAGGAGAGAAAGTGTCACCGAAGAGGGGTCCTGGCACGGCCCCCACCAGCCCCACACAAAGCCCTGGGGACTGTTAGGCCCTGGGACACCACCTGGGAAGCCCAGCCAGGCTGGAAAGGGGACAGTTCCACGATATGCTTAAGAACACGGGCTCCGAACCAGTGAGGCTGGGCGTGCGGCCAGGAGCTGCTCTTTCTTGCCGCGTGAGTGTACCAAGTGGCTTAGCGCTCTGAGTCTCAGCTGCCCTGCTGCCGGCTCACCAGGAGGGCTTAAGCGAGCTAACTCGTGCGATAAGTGGGGCGCAGGGCCTGGCCCGGAGCAGTTGCACAGGTGGACGAGTGGAATGGTGTGGGTTGGGCAGACTCCTGAAAAGGCAGAGGGAACAAACAAGTGCTCAACCTGGGAGTGTCCCCTCCCTGGCCGCTCAGGTCACCATTGGGCATCCTAACTCTCCTCTATGGGACAGCTTCTCCTGCCACCTAGAGCAGTAGGTGACTCAGTTCAGAGCCTTATGGGGGAAAAGAAGCCTTGCTTTCTATTTATTTTTTGCATTATGAAATGACACGCTCATTACAGTAAATCTGGAAAGTACAGAAAAGCAGGAAGGAAGCAAAAGCTTTTATTTAAGTCCCAAAGCCAGATACTCTTGAAAATTCAAGGTTTTTCCAAAAGGGAATTTCTTCCGGGCTCAGGCTTTTTTGTTCTCTGTAACATGGCTGGGGCCTTAGCATTAAGACGCAGAGCCGGAAGGGAACTTGGAGGTCAGCCGGCCCAGGCTCCCCAGCTGACAATCCAGAAGACTCCGGCCCAGAAGAGCTGAGCGACTGGTCCAAGGTTAGCAGTGGCAGAGCTAGAAGGAGAGTTACCAGGTGTCTGCTGCCTCTTAAAATACCAGTGTCTCCGGGCTTCCCTGGTGGCGCAGTGGTTGAGAATCTGCCTGCCAATGCAGGGCACACGGGTTCGGGCCCTGGTCTGGGAGGATCCCACATGCCGCGGAGCAACTAGGCCCGTGAGCCACAACTACTGAGCCTGCGCGTCTGGAGCCTGTGCTCTGCAACAAGAGAGGCCGCAATAGTGACAGGCCCGCGCACCGCGATGAAGAGTGGCCCCCGCTTGCCACAACTAGAGAAAGCCCTCGCACAGAAACGAAGACCCAAGACAGCCATAAATTAATTAATTAATTATTAATTTAAAAAAAAATACCAGTGCCTCCAACACCGGAGCAAACCTCGCTCCAGCCCTGAAGACAGGGCAGTCACTTGATAGTGGACCTAGACCTTCCAGTTTGGGGGAATTTATTGGTGATTGGCAATAGAGGGAGCTCTGGGGCTTCCCTGGTGGCACAGTGGTTAAGAATCCGCCTGCCAACACAGGGGACACAGGTTCGAGCCCTGGTCCAGGAAGATCCCACATGCCGCAGAACAACTAAACCCATGCGCCACAACTACTGAGCCTGTGCTCTACAGCCCGTGAGCCACAACTACTGAAGCCCGCGAGCCACAACTACTGAAGCCCGCGCGCCTAGAGCCCATGCTTGGCAACAAGAGAAGCCACCACAATGAGAAGCCTGCACACCGCAACCAAGAGTAGCCCCAGCTCGCCACAACTAAAGAAAGCCCACGCGCAGCAACGAAGACCCAACGCAGCCAAAAATAAATAAATTTATTTTAAAAGAGAGAGAGAGGCAGCTCTGGTTAACCCCTTCCCTCATTTCCAGTTGGGGACACAGCCGTGGGGTGGGGGCGGGTGAGTGGATGGAAAGGGAGGTTGGCAGAGCCCAGCAAGGGGTGTGGCCCTGGGTCTGTTCTCAGGGGTGGAGCCAGCCAACAGGGTCACCCTGTCCCTTTAAGAGAAGGGGAGAGCTAGCCCCTCTCAGCCATCCTGTCTTGTCATCCATCCCGGCAAAATCCGAAAGGGAAAATCAAAGAGGGACCAGGAGGAACAGGGGGATCAGGAGGAATACAAGGTCCCAGCCATCTCCCAAGGTTCTTTGCTCGGCTTTAACATCCCAGCGTCAGCTACAGGGTTACGTACGGGTGAGAGTCTGGGGGCATCAGGGGCCTGTGGGACCTGTGAGGGGTGGGGGGAGTTGGGGGGGTTCTCGGGAGATATGGGAGGCTGGAAACAGAGGGACACCAGGGAGGAGATGGGAGAAGG